GGCTAGGGCCCCCCCCCCTCCCCCCAGCAGCCCAGGCTTTTGTTTTGGACTCTGGGGCAGAGCAGCTGGGGCGCTGCCAATTGGTCCTGCAGCGCCCGTGGGCACTACTGGACCAACCCGGCAGCACCCCAGCTGCTCTGCCCCAGGTCCTGATTCAGCCGCTGCCTGTACTTCACGCGGGGACTGCCTGTACTTAATTCGAACTAGGCGTTAGTCCTCTTAGAATGAGGTTTACCTAGTTCGAATTAAGCGCTCCCCTAGTTCAAATTAAGTTCAAACTAGCGGTTTGCATGTATAGATGCTATGAAAGTTAATTCGAACTAACAGCTGTTAGTTCGAATTAACTTTGTAGTGTAGACATACCCTGAGAGAGTTTTTACAAAATTCCATGAAGCTCTCAGGCATTTCACTTTTGTGACTATTCCTTTTAATTTTTGTTTAAGTAGCTTCCTCATATTTATATCTTTTTTCTGACTCTTTTGGAAATTAAATGCTGTCGTAGGGGGTTTCTTTGTTATATCCCCTTTTAAAGGATGTAAATGTTTACATTATGGTTCACTAGATTCCCCTCTTGAACCGGATCCTGTGCTCCATTTAGGACTAAATTAAGACTCTTGAATTTAGGACTCTTGTGTTTTGTAGGTCTAACTACTTCAAGAGCCAGTTATTAAAGATATCTAGAAATTTTATCATTGCATCTCATCATGACGTATTCATATTCAATACAGGAATATCTGAAATCTCCCATCATCACATTTTCTGCCTTTTTTGTTTCTCTAATCTCTAAACATTTAGCACTCCCTTCCCTGGCCAGGTGGTCAGTAAGGGTACGTCTACATTTTCTCTCTAGTTTGAGCTAGGGATGCAAATGTAGGTAACCGAAGTTGCTAATGAAGCGGGGATTTAAATATCCCGCGCTTCGGTTGCATAATCTCACCCGTGAGTTATTCCACTCAACAGCTGATTTGAACCAGGAAGTGCGCTCTGGGATGCGTTAGTTCAAATCAAATCCCTCACTTTGAACTAACATTACTCCTCAAAAAATGAGGACCTCTATGACCTTTTGAATGTTACCTAACAACAATCTGGCACTGTTTGGTTTTGGTGAAGGTCATTCTTGCAATATAGGCTCCTCCTTTCCCAAAAGGTCACCCAGTTCCTAATAAATCTAAATCCCTCCTTCACTAATCATCTCATTCATGCAATTAGACTCTACTATTATGCCTGCCTAACTAGCTCTGGGCATGGAACAGACAGCATTTTACCTAGCAGCGTGAAGTGACCTACAGGACCTCTCTCCTATCTTTCCCTTTCTCTTTTGGTACCCATATGTTCCATGTCCACACTATCCATCCTGAGAGGCCTGTAACCTTCATATGTTGCAGGCAAGTCACTAAGTGGTTCTTCCAATCTTCATAAACCCAGGAATCTATAATTCTGATAATCAAACCCCATATTAATATTACCTATCTCTTTCTAATAACAGGGATCCCCTTACCTGGAAATAGATTCTATATACAAGAGGACAGCATTAAGTCATCTGAAGAGAGGGTTCTAGTTATACTTTCATTTTCCTCTGCTCTAGGCTGATCTTCTCCTTCAATAGCACATAAGAGGATAATCAAACATGTCATTCATATGTCAGCCCAGATCCACAAAGATTCTTATAAAAAGTGACAAGGAGTCCTGTGGCATCTTATAAACTAACAGATTTATTGGAGCATAAGCTTTCGTGGGCAAAGACCCACTTTGTCAGATGCGTGTAGTGAAAATTTCCAGAGGCAGGTATAAATATGCAGGCCAGAATAAGGCTAGAGATAATGAGGTTAATTCAGTCAGGGAGGGTGAAGCCCACTTCTAGCAGCTGATCTGGAGGTGTGAACACCAAGAGAGGAAAAACTGCTTTTGTACTTGGTTAGCCATTCACAGTCTTTGTTTAATCCTAAACTGATGGAGTCATATTTGCAGACGAATTGTAGCTCAGCAGTTTCTCTTTGAAGTCTGGTCTTGAAGTTTTTTTGCTGCAGGATGGCTACCTTTAAATCTGCTATTGTGTGTCCAGGGAGATTGAAGTGTTCTCCTACAGGATTTTGTATATTGCCATTCCTAATATCTGATTTATGTCCATTTATTCTTTTGCATAGGGACTGTCCAGTTTGGCTGATGTATATAGCAGAGGGGCATTGCTGACACATGATGGCATATGTTATATTGGTAGATGTGCAGATGAATGAACCAGTGATGGTGTAGCTGATCTGGTTAGGTCCTGTGATGGTGTTGCTGATGTAGATATGAGGGTAGAGTTGTCACTGAGGTTTGTTTCATGGATTGGTTCCTGAGTTAGAGTTACTATGGTGTGGTGTATAGTTGCTAGTGAGAATTTGCTTCAGGTCGGTGGGTTGTCTGTGGACGAGGACTGGCCTGCCTCCCAAGTCCTGTGAAAGTGAGGGATCATTGTCCAGGATGGGCTGTAGATCACTGATGATGCATTGGAGAGGTTTTAGCTGAAGACTGTAGGTGATGGCTAGTGGTGTTCTGTTGGTTTCTTTCTTGGGTTTAGGAATAAAGGCTTTTAGGAATATTTATTTCAGACTTAGTCACTGAAGACCCAGGTTTAGGCACTAAGACCCACTCAGACTCACAAGATTTCCTAAACTTACTGGACATTTAAGAATAAATGTTCACCCAGATCCCTGCATCTGGGCACATTCATTTGCATGTCTCTCTTCTACTTATACACCAGAGCCTTCAACATCCTGGGTGAAGATAAGGATGATGCTGCCTAAGTCACATGAGGAGGCAAGATTGTGATATGCATACTAGCAGATCACGTTCCATTCAAATTTGGGTAGCAACAGAATGGATGGAATTTGTGACACACCACCTTTAGCCCAGTGGCTAAAGCACTCACCTGGACATTGAGACTCACATTCAATTCATAACTGTGTGTACAGTGTTTGATACACATACTCAGACTGGGTACTAAAATTTGTGTTTAACGGATCAGGTGCTGAGAACATACCCTTGGGAAAAGGGGAGCAAAATTCTCCTACCACAGACACAATGGAGGAAGTATTCTACAAAGGACACTCATATTATAAATCATCCCCTATGTGGGCAGCATATTATCTGTACAGTGCTGGATCCAATTCACCACTCTTTCTGCCCAGTTTCCTTGAATTCTTCCTCTTCATTCCACCAAATGCTTACAGCAGAATGATATTGGAAAAGAAGACTGCATTTGATACTTAATCTGGGGGAAATAGCCATAACATTTGCTTGTTTCCATGATGGCCAACCTAATAAATTCACCAGCTATGAACTGGATAGGAACCTCAGCAGTTTATGAAAAATATGTTGGGAGAATTTTTTAAATCTCTAATTTTAATACCGAATCTGAAATGTGCAATGTTCAAATAGTTGTTATTCAAGAAAGCATTTTGAAATGTATTACAGAAAATTTTCACCTTTTTTACCAGAAGGTAAAAGTAAATAATCCCTATTCCTTTTCTACTTCTTTACATTTTTTACAGGACTATTATGTGGTTATTTTATGTCCTACTGAGATGGATGCTCAAGTACGAAGGGTGCTGCAAATTCCAATGTGGTCACAAAGAGTTATCTATCTGCAAGGATCTGCACTGAAAGATCAGGACCTGTTGAGAGCTAAGTAAGCAAAAATTGAATATATTTATTTGTATTTTATTTGTTTCAGTATGTAAATAATATTTACAAATACCGTGAGCCAGATTAGAAAAGAAGAGTATGCATTTTAGAAGGGTAACATAAGTAAATCTATGACATAATTCATCATTGTTCCTAGGTGATTTTTTTCTAAATCCAAACATTTATAATCCAAATGTTCTTTATTGGACCAATCATTTTTATTGTCTCTTTTGTCTCAATTTTAAAAGAATAATTAAAACAATTCAGAAGTAAATCAAACAATGGTTCACCAGTTGATGCACTGCCTTGTGTACGCTAGCAGCCTTGCCCTAGTCTTGCCAATCTGCCATCTAAGTCACTGGTGCTCCTATTCATCCTTGACTTGACCTTCTGGTCAGGACACATTTAGTCTCACTCCTTTAGGGATAAATCAGAGTTTAAATCTGTATAGGCTGAACCTCCCAAATCTGGGACTTTGTGGTATGGCAGGAAGGACACAGATGTTGCTGGACAAGAGAGCCCCAGAGGCAAGGAGCATGAGTCAGCTGTGAGTCCTGCGGGTGTTGGGGAGCCCACCTGGGCTGCCAGGGGCTGGTCCTGTGGTGGGTGGGGAGTCCAGCCCTGTGGAGCCACAGGCCAGGCCACTGTGGTGGCTGAAAGGAATCTTGGGGGCGGTGGCTGTGGAGAATCCCTGGCAGGAGTGGGGCCAATGGCAGCCAGAGGGAATTTCTGGCCCCTGGCTTGGAACCCCAGTGGCAGTGATGCAAGCAGGAATCCCCAGCCAGACTGGAAACTCAGAGGAGAGGAGCTGGTGAGGGTTGGGGAGGAATCCCAGGCTGAGGACACTGCCCCTGGGAACCCCGGCACGGGACCAGAAGCAGAAAGGGAAGCCCAGGGTCTGGGGAAACCCACAGTGCAGAGAGCAGCCTTGACCTACTCTATTCCGGCAAATTGTGTGGTTTGGGACCACTCAGGTCCTGAGGGTGCTGGACCAGGGAGGTCTAACCTGTAGTCCATTGCCATGTGACCATGTCCAGTGACCATGTCCAGACCTAATAAAACTTGCATTTTGTATCCGCCTTCAGTGAGGCTGCAAAGGAACAGCCCCCTCTCCCTATTTTGCATTCCAGCTTGTGAACACTGAAGCCAGTGATTAAGTTCTGTATTGTCAGAACTTTTGCCTTTTCCCTGGACTACTTCCTCTGTGAGCCTGCTCTCTCCTCAGATCTATTGAAGGGTCAAGTCTCTGGCCCCATTCCTAATGTGACAAAGGAAAGAAAGCTAAACTAACAGAAATAAAGAGTAGCGCAATCCTTCAAGGGTCCTTTAGCCATCTGTACTTTGGCCCCAGGTTGACAGGAAATCTAAAGCAGCTTGACCCTTGACTGGGCTCCTGTTTGGGAACTGAAAATGAGAAGCCTATCCATCTTCAATGGGATGTAATCTTCAAGTCTGGGCTGCTCTCTTTAAGGCTGACAGGGTTTAGAGGTGCAGTAAGGCAGGCCTGCCTGTATTGGCTTTTTGCCCCTTTTGGTCTTCTGTAGCATTTGTATACACTATCACACTGGGAGGGTACATCTACACAGCAGGGCTAGAGTCAGAATAAGGTGCGCAAATTCAGGTACATCAATCGCGTAGCTTAAGTTGAAATAGTTTAATTTGGCTTTTGGAGCTATCTACACAGCAGGAAGTCAAAAGAAGAACACTCTTCTTTCCATTTCTCTTACTCCATATAAAATGAGGATTACAGGAGTCTGGGTAAGAAGTCCTCCAGCTCGCCATTATTTTGATATACCAGCTTGCTGTGTAGATGTGTTCTTTGTTATTTTGGAATAATGTCATTTATTCTGAAATAACACTGCTATGTAGACATAGCCTTAGAGATACAACACTAGATCCTGGAAAGCTGGTAAGTGGTTTTAGAATTTGCCTGCATGATAACGAGGAGTAACGGTAGTTCGAACTAGGAAGCCTAGTTCGAACTACCTAGTTCGTGCCCCGTGTAGGGCTGCATGGGGTTCGAACGAGCGGGGTTTTAAAAATGGCGGTGCCCCGCTTATGCAAATGAAGCCCGGGAAATTCAAATCCTGGGCTTCATTTGCAAGTGCGGTATGCCTACATTACCCCGCTAGTTCGAACTAGCAGGGTAGTGTAGACATACCCATAAGGACTTATAGCGTGGAGCTGCTGTCTCAGGCTAGCCGAGGGCTGTGCTTAAAGGGACCCAACCCCCACTCCAGACAGTTCTCAGGGTTCCCCGCTTGCAAAGCAGTCCTGGCTTGGAGTGCCCTGAGTGCCCACAGGCGGAACATCACAGCACTCGGACATCAGCCCGGCTGCACTTGCCACAGGCTGCCATCTGGGGGGAGGGGGCAATCGGGGGGCTGCAGGAGAACTTCCACCCCCGAGAAGCCCGCAGAGCCACCCCAGTCCTCCCCATCGGGGGCGCGTACCCCATTCCTTCCTCACCTCCTTCCACTTACCCTTCCCTAGCCCCCCTTCCTGATGTACAAAATAAAGAAAATGTGTGTTCAAAAATAGAATCTCTCTTTATTGAACAAAACTGAGGGAGACTGGGAAAAAGAAGTGGGAGAGGGGAAGAGAGAGGCTGCGAGAGCGGAGGGCAACTAAAATGATCAGGGGTTTGGAACAGGTCCCATATGAAGAGAGGCTAAAGAGACTGGGACTTTTCAGCTTAGAGAAG